ATTAAATTTTCCGGGATCGGTAATAAGTCCATCAACATATTGTGCACCCCATGTATTTTCAATACAATGTTCAGGCCATTTATGTGTAATAGGTGTTTTCGGTTGAACTGAACTTGAATGAAATGAACAATGATCAATTGGATGCCAATCACGACTATAAACAACTAAATCAAATTCAACATATTTTAATAAACGATTAATAGCCGGTATAACTTCGGCAGCATCTTCACCATTAAAAAAATGATTCAATGCCATTGAACCTTCAACAAAATCATTTTGTACATCAACAATAATCAATGCCCAACGTCGTACAGTTTGTTTAGCTTGATGACCATTTGTTATGTTTGGTTTATCCAATATAGGTGATATTGAATCAATATCTTCAAGATAATCGGATAATTTAAATTCTGTTGGTTGATAACATTCATTATCATTACCATTTTGGCTGGCAATGATTAAACAATAGAATCGATTAACTTTTTCAAGCAAAAAATTTACAAACAACTTACGATTGATCATTGGATTTTTCCATTGTTTTTTTCTCCTTTTTTGATCAAATACTGCTGCTGCTCAATGATGGTTTAAGATCAAAAATAGATTTTTGATAAACCCAATCAATCAAAAAAAAACAAAACAAATTCTTTTAAACGTGGATTCATGGCTTTATAAAGATTTTTTTTTTAATGCAATAGAACACTCATGTGATGCTGCAACAATATCATTCTGCATCTGCGTGTTTTGAACTTTAAATTTTCGAATACATTATTCTGCCATCTGGTGATAATTTTCAGAAAAAAATTGATTTTGAAAATATTTTTTTATCAAAAATCAAAAAAAAATTTTTTTTTCGAATAAGCAAAATTATTTATCAATCTTGATGATGATGACTGGAAAAAAAACTTGCTTTCATTTGCAGAAAATATGAACCGAAATTATCATCATCATTCGATTCACTAAACGAAAAGAAAAGTTTATTTCGAAGTTCATCCGAAGAAGACAAAACATGAATTTATTTTGAATTTAAAGATTTTTCCTGGCAATTTGAAATCTGGAATTTTGAAGATGAAAATGCTCTCATTTGACAGAGAAAAATTCTTTGTTTTGATCATCATCATATTGATATGGACGGCTAGTGGTTCGTTTGGTCGTCGACAAAAACCATCATCATCACCAATGAATTTAACACCGATAATATTGGGCAAGTAAGATTAATTGGTCAAGTTTTTTCACAATGATGATTTTCAAAAAAACGAATTCCAGTTCCAGGTGATGGTGGTAGTCAATTGGAAGCCAAATTAAATAAATCAAATGTACCACATTATTTTTGTGATCGTCAAACAATGGATT